GGCCTGCCCGGCCCGCCCACCGCCAGGGACGCCGGCCGCCCGGCGGCTGGGACAGCGGCCAAGCAGGCAGCTCCCAGGCCGGCAGAGCGGGGCTGCGAACCCCGAGGCCCCATCGCCAAGCCTCAGTGCTGGGGCTGGTGGCCTCACCTCCTGGCTCTAAGACGGGGTCCCAGGGCTGCTGCCTGCCCTTCCAGCCGGTGCTCCCCAGGCTTGGCCGCCGGTGGGCACCAGGTGCCGGTGAGCGGCAGCCTTGTTCCAGGAAGGACCTCGGGCCTTCTGCAGGCTCCTCGGATAGGTGCCGAGCCCCAGCACAGACGCCTGCCCAGCCTGAGCTTGCCGGGACGGGGCACGCTCACTGCCTTCGAGGCCGGGCAGGGAGCTGGGCTGCCCGCCCTCCCTGGCTGTGCCCAAGCTGTCTGCTTCTTGCTCTCCAGAGCTCCCAATCCCTCTGTGACACTGGGGACGCCCCTGAGCCTCTGGCTTTCCCACTGCACAGACCCTGGCTCCCCGGAGCAGGGATGACTGTTGGGGGAACCGGGACACAGAGAGCAGAACCAGCTTGCCTCAGGCCATGCAGCAAGGTAGACCAGAATCTTGCAGCCTGACTCTGGGTCTGGGCATTTTGTCTATGCCCAGGCAGAAGGAGATGCCCAGAGGAACAGCACATATACCTCCAGATGTGCAAAGAATCAGAGAAGGTGCTGATGTAAAATAGGAGCCCTCCTCCCACTGGATCAAAGAAAGTTGTAGTTAAATTATGATTATTTGACAGTAGAATAACACTGGCTGCTGTAAGGAACATAGTCCAAGGTGGTCCGGCTGTCTTGCTCCTGGCTTGTATGTCCTCTACATTTACTGAGCACCTACTGCATACAAAGCACTCCTGGGAGACCCAGAGACAACTAAGATTCAGTCTCCACAGTAACGGGGCCACTGTGCTGGGGCTGCTCCTGAGCAAGTTGTCCTTCCTCCCAGCAGGAAACCCAGGAGGGTATTCTGGAGGAGGTGGCCTGGGCTCTGGCCTGACCATGTGGACAGAGTCCATCATCACTCCCCTGGCTCCCCCATTACCAGCCTGAATCAGAGCTGCACCCATTCGACGGGGTAAAGGACAGGTCAGAGGACAAGGAAGGAGCACAGCCACATCCTCCTGAGAACACTGTGTGCAGAGTACACGGGGGAGTGACGCACTGGCCATTGAGCCCCAGGGCAGCAGCTGGGACAGCCCAGACCGCTCCTGGCCCTGCACTCAAAGACAAGAGCTGGTACAAAATTGTCACAAGCCAAATGGGCAGCTGTTGCCCCTGGACTTTGGACAAGGGGTGGTGGCTGGAGGGCCAGGCCTGGCTATGGTCACCTAGGTCACCAATTGGGCCCTGCTCGCGTCTGGGAGAGGTGCTGGAGGGCATAGCTCAGGAGGTGGCCAGGTTCTAGCTAGGGAGGCCAGGTTCTAGCTAGGGAGGTCCTGCTATACCATCTTGGGCAGGTTCCCTTCACCAAGCCTGTTTCCCCACCTGGCAAGTAGGGACTAGAAGCTCTGCAGGGTCCACTCCAAGAAGCTTTATAAATTTACCTGTTTGTTATCACCTGTCCTTTTAGTGCACTTGGAAGAAAACCACGTGCAAATCATAGTTGCAATGTACGCTGGGCCAGAAATCCTCCCCCTTCCCCCCTCCCCACTGCAAATCCAGGAGGGAATGTGGTGGACTCGCCCCTGCCTGCATGGCCAGCCCTGAGACTCCCCCTTCTTGCCGGGGCTGGCCCAGTCTGCAGGCCCCAGCCAGCCCTCCGCCCCGCCTGCTGGCCAGGCTTCCAGGACAAAGGGAGGTGTCTGCAGGCCACACTCTGACTGGGCCGAAGTCCAGGGTGGAGCAGGGGGAGGGGCTGGGGGACAAATCTGCCCTCGGCCCTGAGAAAGAGGGACACTAACAATATAAGAGTTGCTGACATCTGACCCAGAGGAAGGTGGTGCCCAGCCACACCTGGTACCTGGCCCCTGTTGCCTCTGAGTGGTGCCACCTGGAGCACCTGCTGGGGGGCAGGCAGTGTGCCGAGCACCCTGAGCGAGAGTTGCCCATTGTAGAGATGGGGAAAACTGAGCCAAGACACAGCCAAGGGCAGCAGCCCCGGGCAATTCATGGCCCAGGGAAGTTTCCAGAATTGTGGAGGGCTGGATTTACACCACCAGTTTAATTTCTCCAATTCAAACCTTTAAAAAAATAATGACATCAACTACCCCGACGACTCCATGAAGACAGAATGTTTTATCATCCAGGGTAAGTGGTGGATCTTCCGGAGAGGAAGGAGGGCATCCCATTCCCTGGCACCCACACACTGAGGGTCAGAGGAAACGGCTCAGGCTCTGCCACCTGGGCACAGGCATTCCCAGGAATAGGGGGGTACTCCTGGCATACACGGAGGGTGTGGGTGGCTTTGTGCCAGGGCTCCCAGTGCACCCCATGATATGTCTCGAGCATTATTTGTTAGTGAAACAAATGTGGAGGTGAAATTGGTCTCTTCCTGTGGCTGAGACTGAGGGGGCTGGGCTGGTGCCCAGTGCTTCGTATCACCTGGGGGGACCCGGACTACACTTTTGGCACCACCATTGTCAGAGGGGAGACAGAGCTTCGAGGATCTTCCTGCCATGGAGGGCGGCTTGGGGTGCGGGTCCCCTCTCACTGAGGGCATTGAAAGAGAGCAGTGGAGAAGCAGCGGCCAGGGACAAAAGACCCCACAATCACCACGCCGCCCCGGCTCGGCCAGCCAAACCCTCCAGGCCCCACGCTGGCTGCCCGGGCTGTTTACGTGTTTGTAGGAGGTACGCCGGGGATTGCCTATAAAAATCCCGACTTCCAAGCTTCTCCTGCAAAGCTGGGATCCACGGGCCCTGGGCCCACACCCTTGCCAAACACGCTTAGAGGGCCCATTTTGTCCAGCTGGCCACAGTCCCCACCCTGCCACTTTGCCTCTGACCCCTGACCGGGACCCCCAGGCCCTGAGTGGTGGTGGTGGCAGAAACAACCTCCTCTCTCCGGCTCCAGGGGCCCACCCAATGACCGCATTCGTCTTAACTTGTCCACACATCTGCAGAGACCTGACTTCCAAATAAGGTCATGCTCATAGGTACTGGGGGTTGCAGGTCAACACATCTTTCTGGGAAGGGCACAATTTACCTCCTCACACATATTTGCAGGGCAGCTTTTGTTTTTCCTTTCACCCACTGCCAAGGTACGAAAAAGAATTTTCCTTGCCATCCTGAGATGATTCTGGGAGCTGGGCAGGGAGCAGGGGAGGGCTGTTTCTACACATCCTGACCCTTAGGGTGAGGCCCACCGGGGACCCATCTTTGAACGGGCTTTTCTATTAGACTTGACACTTAGGGGGCCCTGGGATTTGCCCCCTCTCCCCAGACCCGGCCAGGCTGACGGGTACTCAAGCTTACCCAGCTGGGCAAATGCCCACAGGCACTTCCCAGATTGTCTGCGAGGGAGCAAAGTAATCATGAGCCCTTCAGAGCAGAGACCCCTTCCCAGCGGTGACCAGAGGGAGACAGAGGTGTGACTATGGAAGGGTCAGAGGGGCACCTTTGCTGGCTTTGAGGCTGAAGGAAGGGGGCCGTGATCCAAGGGATGCAGGAAGCTTCTAGGGGCTGGCAAAGGCAAGGAAATGGCTTCTCCCCTGGAACCCCGGAAAGGAACACGGCTGTGCTGGCACCTGCGTGGGGCTTCCACGACAGGGACACGCCGGACAACAGGTGCGTGCTGTTCTAGGTCACCGCGTTTGCGGTGATTTCTTACGGCGGCAACAGAAACCCGATTCACCCCCACACCGCCGGAGACAGAAGTGCAGCCCCTTCGTCTCACAGCAGCCATGAGCCGGGAGGAAATTCCGTGACCCCCTGCCCCACGCTTCCTCGCCCGTCTCCACGCCACTTCGGTTCCATTGCCCTTCCCGGTGTTTGCATTTGTGCCACGAAGTGCACTGGCCCCTCTTACTCGGGACGCAAACGGTTCTTGACTTCCACCTGGAGAAGACGAAACAGCACCCCTCCACTCCCCCCCTTCCGTCTCCGCCCCTCCGGGCTCTTCCCTGAGGCCACCTTTACCTTCGTTCTTTCCCGTTACGGCGTCTGCATAGTCACGTTAGGTCTGTAACCACATCTCCACCTTAAGGCTTGCCCCACAGAGGCAGAGGTGCAATATTCACCCCGATCCTGAGCTGTGGTTCCCCCTCACGTGGCTGAACCAAGTTGCGCCCCCGGTGATTTCTTTAAATCATGGGCCCTGGGCTCCTCTCTCCACGAGGACTTTGTGGGCACGGTCGCACGGCCCCACACTGAGTGCCGGGTGACGGCTGAGGTGCACCAAGCTGTCCTCTCAAAGGCACCTGCTCTCGGTACCTGACGCCCAGTGGGTTATTTCCTTTATCTTTTTATATTTTATTTTGGAGGGAGGGGAGAGAGGGCGAGCGAGAGAAACATCCATCTGCTGCTCCACTTGCTGGTGCATTCACTGGTTGATTCTTTTACGTGCCCTGAGGATCAAACCGGCAACCTCGGTGTTTCAGGATGAAGCTCTAACCAACCGAGCAAGCAGCCCGGCCAGGGCTCATTTCCTTTATCTTTGGAGTCCAGGACTAACCATTCCATGTAAGTGTGTCCTGGGGCACCAGGTGCTTTTCAGTCTTGCATTTCTGGAAAGATAAAAAAGCACATTAAAGCCCTGGCCCGTGTGGCTCAGTTGGTTGGAGCACTGTCCCCTGCACCGCAAAGTCTCAGGTTTGGTCGACGGTCGGGGCGCAAGCAGGAGGCAACCAACTCATGCATCTTTCTCACATCAATGTTCCTCTATCTCCCTTCCTCCCTCTCTAAAATCAATAAAAATAAGTAAATAAAAGCACATGGAAATATTCATCCTGTTCCGTCATTTTTGCTTTATCCACATTAGCATTTCCTTCTCATGGGGGGTTCTTTGAGATGCCAGCTCCATGCAGGGCCCCAGTCCCAGCTCGTGGTCTCCGAGGACCTGTGGCTGATGCCAGGAGTGTCAGAACCCAGGTCTCAACCCCAGGGGGCAGAGACCCCCGGGGCTCCCTGGCCTGGGCTCCCAGTATCTGCTCTGGCTTGTGCCCTCCTTTCCGGGATGGGCCCTCCTTTCCAGCCGAGCCGTGGGTTCTGCACGGTTGACATGCATTCCTGTTTGTAGCGGAGGCGTCGGGATGGACGGGAAGGCTGTCCACAGCACCTCAGAAGATGGTTGTGTCTGTCCTTCATCCGGGGGTGCCTCTAAAGCTCCTGACACAGTGGCCTCCCGGCGGCCTTGCCCTAGGGGAATCTGTGGCCGTTGTGGAATTATGAGAGGGAGAGGCCCAAGAACAGGACCCCCATCCAGTCCTCAAGGGCACCTCTGTGTCACCTCAAACATTTGAACCTGGCTCCCTCCTTTGTAACAAAGTCTGACATTTGCTAAGTGCTGGCCATGCACCAGGTTCGGAGGCCCAACTGACCCTCACAACCCTGCGAGCTGGGTCATGGCGCTGGTGGCCCACCCCAACGGCCATGCTTCTATCGCCTCAGTAACAGGGCCCAACGGTCTCCAGGGTGGCGTGCACCCAGCTCAGGTCGCACATGTCCGGCCTCCTCTGCAGCCAGCAGTCCCAGACTCTGGGGAAGGAGGGGGAGGGGACACACTGTGCAGACCTCCGCTCTGCCCATGGCCTCGATGGCAGGAGCTCCAGCAGCCACCTTGGGCCCAGACTGTGAGGAGGTAAGTACATGTTGAGAATGGGAGGAGTCGGTGGGGGGTGGGGAGGCTCCAAACCACCCCTAGATCACGGCCTCTGACTGCTTCCCATGGGGGAGAAAGAAATCTCTATCTTACTACCCTTCCTCCATCCTAGGCCACAGACCCAATCTCAGCAGAGAGCACAAATTTCATCTACAACACATAAAGCAGAGGGCTCGGGAGGTGAAGGGCCCGCACAAGGGCAGGGCGGGGTCTGAATCCCTCCGGACAGGAAGACAGTCCCCCTCTGAGGGCAGCCAAGGGATTCCGCAGGACGCTGCCTGGGAACCTGGGGTGCTGTGCCCGCCGGAGGAGGAGCCTGGTTGGTGGCCCTGGCATCATCTCCTCAGACCCACAGCCTCTGCCTGAGGCTGGGCCTCCCCCAAGGCCTGTGTCTGACCCAGCATGACCCTGAGCTGACAGTGTCTGGGTGGAGCAGACCCTGCCGACGACAGAGGAATCCAACAGCCCTCCTCCCGGAAGGAAAAGTCAGCCACTCTCGGAGAAAACAACTTAGGTTTATTTGCAGTAAAAACCGTGGTATGAAAAAACCTATTGGCAAATGTACAGTTTGTGTTCCATCTGGGGTCGCCTCCTGCTGCAGGACCCCAGACCCCTGACCCACATGCATTGGGCCCCCGTGTTCACAGCGAATTTCGGGCCCCGGGTCCACAGCCCCCTCCAGAGGGTGCCCCGTCTCCTGCCGGAGCCCCCAGATCCCTGCCTGCGCCTGGCCCTCCTGCCCTCCGGCCCTGAGCAGTGCAAAAACCAACCAAGCCGCGCAGTCCGTGTTTCCAAACAAGCAAACAAAACAGTCGCAAGAATCGGGGCTGTAAACGATGTCTCCTCAGTGTCCTTCCGTATCACGATGGCCTGTTTCGGGACGGCCTCAAATACACACCATTTCCTGGCTGTCACAAAACCCCTTCCTTACTAGTCAGACATATAACGGGAGCTTTGGACGAAACAATTACAACCTTCTTTTTCTCTTAAAAAGCAAACAAGCCAAACAAAAAACAAACCAACAAAAACGAAAAAACAAAACCTTTCCGACAGCAGTAAACAAAAAGGGGCTGGCTGGTTTCCTCCCCTCCCGTCCGGGGCTCGCGGCCTGGCCAGCTGAGCCGAGGGTCGCGCAAAGTGCTGGGTGCGCCCTGGTGACAGGGACCTGGGTCTGCTCCCTCCAGGGCCGATTCCCCCCCTTGCTCACTGCCCCCTAACGGCGGTCCTGTTCACCCTCACTTCTCAAGCCTCCGCAGGCTGTCGTCTCTCTTCTCCCTGCTGCTCACAGCCTCGGACCCCTCCCCGCCTCCTCCCCGTGCCAGTGTGCCGGTGTGGGAGCCCAGCCTGGAGGCTACAAGGCTGAACCCCAGGGGGCAGCGTGGCAAATGAGGCCCAGCCTGGCCCCTGCTCCCAGCACAGGGCTGTGCAGCTGACCAAAGGGAGGAGGGGACACACGAAGCCCAGGTCCCCCCAGTAGCATTGGCACGGAGCTCAGGGAGAGTGTCGCTAGGTCTCATGCAACATCCAGGCAGAGGAAACAGGGTCTAGCCAAGCCAGCCAGAGAGAGGTCAAGGCCAGGAGAGGTCAGGAGGGGGTGCTACAGAGGGAGAGCCACCCCCAAGAGCACTTATTTCAGGCTGGCCTAGTTCTTGAACTATAGGAGCTCTTGGAAGGAAGACCTGCCAAGGGTGAGAGCCAACATTCTGTGCAAAGGCTGGGGGACCCTCAGGGACCATCTTGCAGGACACAGGAGACCCAGAGAGGCCCCCTGCGCGGGAGTGGTGGGGCCCCCTCTGGACAGGAATGTGAGCAGCAGGGACAGGGGAAACCCGTGTTCTTCCCGCCCATATCAGGGTTTACAAAAGATGTCTCCTGGCAGCAGGCAGGACAGACGACCTTGGACTCAGGGAAAAGACAGTACCATTGAGCAGGGAATAGGATCAGCAACTTCCTCATTCCCAGGGCTCCCTCCCGGGAGTGACCTGCCTGGGGGTCTCCGCATGCCCCCGGTGCAGAGGGACATAAGAAGGTCAAGGGAGACGGCGCAGGCCCCTTGCAGTGCCCACGCTGCCCACGCTGGGGCTGCAGGCGCCCTACTGCCTCTCAAAGCCTGAGGTCACCCCTGGGAGCAGCAGGAAGCAGGAGGGCTGGGAGCCCAGGGGCTACGCAGCAAGGGCGGGGGGAAGGTCCCCTCTGCCATCCCCAGCCCTCCCTGGGACAGCATCTGCTATTCACACCTAGGCTTCTGATGCCATCTTGACAAGACAGGGGCAAGATGAGCTCTGGCTTCAGCTGTCACCCAGCACCTGGCTTGAATGGCACTGTCACGCCCTCTCCTCAGCACTCTGGTGGGACAGTCACAGCAGGGCTGGCCCAGATTTCCTCTATGTACAAGTGGCGAACCCAGGACAGGCCACCGAGGGCAGACTGGTGATGGGACGGTTTGCGTTTAGGACTCTGAACACCCTCCCCATCCCTACAGGCTACTGAAGACTGGAAGGTCGGCAGGCATTTCCCCCTCTGGGTCACGGAGCTGGAGATGGACTTCAGAGCTGGTACAACCCTTCCAAGAAAATCCTCGGGTCCTGTCTGCATTCTTCCCGTCACTGGATGCCCTCCTCTTCTACATATGTTGAAGGAAACCAGCCGATCTGAAAAAGAAAAAGATGATAGGATCAAGTAAGTGTGTGTGTGTGTGTGTTGGGGGAAAGGGTGAGTACAGGTTTGTAGGGATGGGGAATCTTTCAAAAGGCTAAGCCAGCCCTGGAAAAGAGGCTGAGGCTGAGGGCCCAGTGGAGCCATGGCCCAGGGGTAGGTGTGACCCCAAAATGCACCAGCCCTGAGCAGTTTACAATGAATCTGCTCTCTAACTGCCAGCCAGAAAAAAAAAAAAAATCCCCTCTGGAGGAAAATAGCATTATCCAGAGCCTCTACAGTGTTTTATATACAAGCTCAGCACTCAATCAGGATCACGTGACAGAAACTAAGAGAAAAACACAACAGCAGGAACCAATCTCCAGCTCATCCAGATATTGGACTTGATCATTAGGAATGTACATAACTCTAACTTGTACGTTTCAGAAAACTGATGAAAAAGCAGAAAATTTTAGCAGAGAATTGAACTCAGGCATCAAATAGAACTCCCAAAACTGAAAACTACGACTGCAATTAAGAATCCAGTAGAAGGGTTTAACAGCAGATCAGACAAAGCAGAAGAGAAGATTAATAAACTGGAAGATGGACCAATGGAAAGTAACTGGATGGAAAACACATAAAAACAGGGCGAGGTTACACAGGCCACGGAGCAAAGACATAACAACCATGCGCATGGAGCCCTAGAAGGAGACGATGGGGCAGATACACCACTGGAAGAAATTTCCCACACTGATGAAGACCAAACTGATTCGGCCAGAGATGAAACAACCTCTACAAATCTCAGGCAGAGTGAACACAGAGGAAACCACACCTAGGCACTTTATTGTGACACTGACGAAAAACACAGACTTTTTAAAAACATGTAGCCTAATGGGGAGGCGTGTAGCCATTTCCTACAAGGAGTAACATTAAGATCTGACTACCTTTTCTACAGAAATGTTAGAAGCCAGGTGACAATGGAATCATCAAAGTGCTGAAACAAGACACCTCATGGCCGAGAATTCCAACTCCAGTGAAAATACCCTTCAAAAGTGAACTCAACACAGTTGCTCCCAAAAAGCAAGCAGGCCTCTTTGGAGAGATGGGTGATTCCTGGGGAAGTATGACCGAGGGTAGACAAGAAAGGTTTTCCTTACAGAATGCCCACTAAGAACTGCAGAAGCAATGACAGAAAGTCGGTATTGTTCAACCATGAGAGAAATAGTTGACCAGACAAAATTCATCAATGAATGGCACAACTAGAAGGTGAAAGCCTGATGCGGGACAGGATACTTACCTGATTGCTAAGTATTAGTCTGCAAAGTACTTATTAATTTCAGTAACTTCACGGTGGAGAAACCTGGCAGATACCACCCTAACCAAGTGATCGAAGTTCATGTCACAAGCATGGGACATACTTACCTCTGGAGAGGACATTCAAACACTGAAAAAGAGGCAGCACCCCACTGTGGTGTTCCCCCTGAAATGGAGAACCTCCATCTCATCATGAAGAAAAAAAATCAGACAAACTTTACTGGGGGACAGTCTATAAAAATAACTGACCCATACTCTTCAAAAATGTCAAAGTCATGCGAGACAGAGAAGGGCTGAGGAACTGTCCCAGATGAAAGTGAGATGAAAGTCATGGCAAGCTAATGCAGTTCGTGGTCCTGGATTGAACCCAGGGCCAGGGCAAAATAGCTAGAAAAGACCGGATTGGGACAACTGGTGAAGTGTGACTATGGACTGTGGATTAGGTCATCATTTAGATCAAAGGGGAATGTCCTTGATCTTCCAAAATACATACTAGAGTGTTTAGAGATAAAGAGATATTTCTGCAATACCCAGGTTCTCAAATGGTTTAGAAAAAAATAAGTGCGGGTGTGTACACGCATGCACACACACACACTCACACTCACAGAGAGAGAGGGACAGAGGAGGCAAATGGTAAAGCAATGGACAAGTCGCTCCTGACTGGCAAAACTGGGCACATGGGAGTTCTCTGTACTATTTTTTTTTTTTTAATGCATCTTTATTGATTTCAGAGAGAGGGAGGGAGGGAGAGAGAAAAACATCAATGATGAGAGAGTCATTGATCGGCTGCCTCCCGCACGCCCCCGACTGAGGGTCGAGCCCGCAACCCTGCGNTCAATGATGAGAGAGTCATTGATCGGCTGCCTCCCGCATGCCCCCGACTGAGGGTCGAGCCCGCAACCCTGCGTGTGCCCTGACCGGGAATCGAACCGCGATCTCCTGGATCCTAGGTCGACGCTCAACCGCTGAGCCACGTCGGCCGGGCTACTGCAACTCTTAAGTTCGACGTTGTATCAAAAGAAGTTATAAACATTTTACAGGGAGAACATTAAAAAAGAGAGGGAACTAAAGTCCTGTTCTGATGCAAGGAATACTGAGGATTTACGGGCAGCAGGCTCACCCTGGAGAGCGTAAGAGGAAGAAGTGCAGGCGGCCGGCATGCGGTCTTGGGCGGAAATAGGACGATGCGGGAAGGAACCGGGAGCCCCGGGGAAGTGCATCTAAATGAGCATTAACTACCTAACAGTCCCAGCTTACAAGGTTCAAGATGTGTAGAATTAAGATACATGACAACACCTTCCCAAAAGCTGGGGAAAAGCGGACAGTCAGAGACCAAGGCCCTTCGCCGTGTGGGAAGCCGTACAGCAGTTTCAGCTGGCCCCCCAGAAGCGGGGCGCGATCGGGGCGAGCCCACTCACCCGGCCATTCGTCTCGCCCCTCCACCAGCCCTGGTCCCCGCCAATGCGGCTGTAGATCTTCACCACATCGCCTTCCCGCAGCGAGAGCTCCCGCATGTCCCGGGCAGCAAAGTTGTACCTGGCCACAGCCGTGCCGATGACGCGGGGCGTGAACACTGTCGGGGAGATGGGCGGCGTCACACAGCCGCAGGGTGGGGCCCCGCCGGGGCTGTGGGACCCTGGGGCCGAGCTGGGTCTCTCTCCCCAGGTGTCTGGCCCTGTGTCCAAGGGGAAGGGCCTGAGAGCATAAACGCTCCGGACGGACAGCCAGGCCCCAATCCCGGGGCCCCTGGCTCCTCTGTGGGAGCCTAAACTGTGGCACATGGGATGTGACCCCTGTGAAGGGAATCGGAGCGGGTCACCACCCACACTGAGGGCTGTCGCAGGCAATGACAGTGCTCATGGGGAAGAGAGCAGATGCCAGCATTCTGACCATCACAGCCCCTGCAGGGCATCCCTGAATGCCCGGTGCCTGGGACAGGCCAGTGGACAGCTGAGTGACAGCTGCCCAGCTCCCATCCTTCACTCTGACCGAGCACCTGGATGGGACCCCAGGGCATGGTGCTCATCTCCCTCATGTCCCCAATTCCAGATCCCCAAACCAAACTGGAAACCCAGCTGGACCAGCTCGGTAGGACCCAGGAGTCCTGATGGACAGGTGACAATGACCATGACAGAGGAGGAAGCACACACAGGGCCAGGGAGGGCTCTGACTCTGGCAGCAGAGGCCGTGTGGTTGGGGCCACCAAGACCCTGTCTTCCTGCCCCCGAGTCCCAGAACTCCTCTTACAGCTCTGAGGGGGGCCCACCAGGGTCTGCTCCCACCTCCCCCAAGGGTGGCCGCCTGGCTGTTTGCCGCTACCAGAGGCAAAGCGCTCAGTGAGCAACGAGGGACAATGGTTGAGAAGCTGGGTGGCTGGCATCAGGGTGAGCGTGTCAGGGGCGACAGCAGTGAGGAGGGCAGTGCCAAGCCTGTCTGGGTCCTCGGGTGCAGCAACAGCCCCAGCCTGCCCCAAGCCACCTCCTTCCCGGCCCTGCCCCCCGCCCCCAACCCCCCGCACCACTGTGGACACCTGCAGGCAGGGGCCGCGGGCCAGCAGGCAGCCCCAGGCCAGGCCCGCCAGGCCGCCGGCCCCCCACGCCCCAAGGCGGCGGTACCTGACCAGAAGGGAGCGGAGGAGCCCTGAGAAGCAAAGCTGAGGCCCTGAGGACTGAGAAAAGAAAAGTTGTAGGAGGCGCAGGAAGCTGCAAAGAGGCGAGAGAGAATGTGAAAGGGGGGCGGAGCAGCGTCCACACAACCCACAGCACACAGTTGCAGGCGGCAGGGATGGGGCCCCGGCCATGCCTCGGGGACAGAGGGACAGGGGGATGGCCTCGACGCCCACCGGGCACGGGTGCAGCTCGGCCACCTTGGGCTGCCCTCACTCCACTCTCCACACCTCCTCCCAGGGGGCATGCGTGCACGGGGACTGACGTGCCAGGAGCCTAGCCCCTTGCCCAGCACACAGCAGGTGCTCACTAAAGACCCGTCATGACTCTCCTGGCTGCTCTGCCCAGGCGGGGCCTATGGTTCTGCAGGCTGGAGGAAGTGGGGTGAGTCCTGGGCTGGATGCCCAATGTTCTGGGCCCACCCTGCCCCTGACTCCAGGTGGCTCCTGGCCTGGGCTGCAGGGCCCTAGCTGCTCACAGAGGTGCTGGGTCTGGCTCCCTCACAGTGGGGCTCTGGGGGGACTAGGGCACAAGGAAGGATCTGAGGACAGGTGGAACCTGGCCTGTTCCCTCCCCATGCTGACCTCTGGGCAAAGGCACTAAGACTCAGAGCAGCAATTCAGAGCTGGCACGGTGATTGTGATGGGCTGGAGAGTGCCAAGGTCAATGCTCCTAGGGGTGGGAATCAGGAAAGGCTCCTGGCCTAGGTCAGTGACCCAAATAAAGCCTTCCTCAAGGGCAGGTGGGCAGTGGGGGCCTGGGCTGTGGGAACTGGGACAGAACGGACACTTCCAGGTGAGCACTGGTGTGCCAGGTGGGCATGGGCATTACCTGGGGACCGGCTGGAGCTCCTGGAAGCTGCGCGTTCCCGAGACTTGTAGGGGTACTTGAGTGTGGTGTCCAGCTGCTTGAAGCTCTCCTTGAGAGAGTGGCATTGGTAGTACTCCACCAACTCCTGCAGGACACGCATGCTCACTGACTGTGGCCACCTCCAGGCAGGCCTCCTGGGTACCCTGGCCTCCCTCTCCCCCGCCTCAGGTTCACAAAGGGGACTCCTCTCCTCGACCTTCGAGAGCTCCCTTCCTCTTCCCCCAGCACTAGGCCCAGGACGGGTGGTCAGTCACCCAAAGACTTCTGACCCAGCAATTTCTCTCTCAAACGTTTCTGAAGAAGTCAGTGAAAAGCTGAGGCTGAGGGACAGGGACACTCCCTGCATACTCTTTATAACAGAGAAAAGCGGGAAACCCCACGTGGCCAATGCCAGGGAAGTGCTTCTAGAAATCACAGCTTATCCAGGGGACTGAATGTGAGGCGGGAACCAGGCACGAAAGAGGAAGGCTGGCCGAATGGCAAATTTCTCCACACTGAGGAGCAGGCCGAGCCCGACCCCGCCGGCCCGCAGTGTCGCCTGGGAATGTGCACACAAACCACAGCAAAGCTTTCCTCGGAGGGAGGACTCGCCTGTGACCGTAACGCTGGTCTTTTATGGGGAAGGGGGCAGCTGTGGGGACTTCCTGTTTTACTTTGTGCTTCTCTGTGGCCACTGTGGGTCTAAGAGCTCAGAGTCTCTGCTCGGTGGGTCTCAGTACATGGGCCGCTTGTAAGGAAAATTAATGGGTCTAATCTTAAAATCACCGTACGAAGGACTTTGCCGTGACCTGCATCCGGCCGGGCTGTGACTGGGGGGTGGGGAGGCGGGGAGGGGTGCTGTTGGGAGCAGCTTGGCTACACGCCAGGCCCTGGGCTGAGCCTCACTGGGCCACTGTTTCCGGCTCCGCTAGGAGGTTGGGCAGGAACCGGCTGCTGTGAGGCTGGGGGCCAGGGCGGGCTGAGCCCTCCCATCACTGTCCACCACGGTCAACCCACCTGGTCCTCTGGGGGATTTGGGGGACAGTCCTGACTCGAGGGGCTGCAAGGAGGCCCTAACTGTGCCAAGGCGAGGGGCACAGGAGGCTGCTCCCCCTCGGTGCGGCCGAGGTGGGACCCCAGGGCCCTCCTCCCACCCTGGAGCCAGGCGGCAGGGCCACAGGACCACATACCAAGAGGCTTTCAAATTTCTTCGCTTCTGTGATGTGGATCCAGCTGTCTTTCTCTACCACCTTGATGTGCTTCACCTCGTCGTTGAACCTGGGCGAGGTACACAGGCTGCTGTGGTCACTGCACGGTCAACATACCCCCGGCCCCTGGGGGTTGAGGCTCAGGAGCTAAGACCCTGCCCTGGGCCCACGGCTCACACCTCCTGCTCCACGGCCGCTTCCTTTCGGGCCTCTCCCCACCCCACCGGGCTCTGGGCCCGTCTCCTACTGCTTGTCCGTCCGTATGTCCATCCCCCTTGCCTGTTTCAGCTCCAAACCCCCAGGTCAGCCGGCGAGGCCTCAGGCCCGGAAGCCCCACGCCTCCCTCCGGCCACTTCCTGCCTCGGGATTGGCTCGCTCTCCTCCGCACCGGGAGGGTCCTCCTCCTGCTCCCGGGCGCCCGTGAGGCCTTCACAGCCTGGCGTGTAGGTCGAAGGTCCGCCCCTGGCCCCGGAGGCCTGAAGGGAGCAGCCCTGCCCCAGCGTTGACACCATCTCCTAATATCCTCCTACTCCACACCCTCCCCTCCAGCCGGCCCGGCCTCCGGCTCTTCCACAGACACGCCAAGCCCACGCCCACCAGGCCCTGGCACTGCTGTCCCCTCTGTCCAGACGCTCACCCTCCCGCCATCCTCGAGATGCCCTCTGTGTCCCTGGACCCCAATGTATCCTTACAGGCGAGCTTCCTCTTACCTCCTCCCCAGGGACCACCCTCACCCCTTCCAGCTGACTCCAAATCCAGACAAGGACACCACAGGCAAGCAAATGTACACAGATATCTCTTACGACTGCAGATGCTAAAATCTCCAACAGACTGAATCTCTCTCCACACTTCCATCTACACAAACCAAACGCATACAGAGGACTTCACACCACAGCTAAGTGGGACATCCCAGGAACGCAAGGTTGGTGGGACTCAGGCAACCCTGCGTGGGGCTCCAGCAGACCAGAACCCTCTGTTCACTGGCCTGTGGCCCATCGGCCTGGCAAGGACTCCTATCCAGTGGGCAGCCTATGCCAATGGTGACCAACCACCAATCAGATTCTGTGTCTTGGAGAAATGACAGCAGGCCCACAAGGGACGGCTTCTGGGCAGGAGGGCACCCAGACTGAAGACCACTGGCTGAAGCTGCCAGATGGCAGCTGTGTGACCTTCCCATGCTCCCCGAGGCCCACCTGGGGGACCGCTGGGAAATCCTTGACCCCTCACAGTATCGCTGCCCTGCTCTGGTGACTGAGCTCGTTCCCGTAACCTGAAAACGTCCGACCAAGCTCACAGGGCAGTTAGGACTGACAGGAGCCAGGCTGGTTCACGCAGGTCCTGGGCCAGCTGGGTGTGTAGACCCACGGACACCCTTTCATCTCAAAAGGGTCCAAGTTTGGACAATACATTCCATGGCCGCCCCAACCCAACAAGCTCCAGACCTGGAGGGGACATGGGCTCTGAGGTTCAGAAAGGCACCGGGGGACGAGTCCCCTTGGCCCCGGGGGGCCATCACGTACTTGATGCTTATGGCGAAGCGCTCGGCCTCGGCCGGCCGCTCCCTGATCAGGTAGGTCCCGCTGGCGTGGGATTTGAGCAGGTTGTCTGTCTGCTGCCTCTCCATGTTGCCTGCAAACCTAGAGACAGGGAGGAAGTGCGAGTTGTCACACTGACAGCCTATGACAGCATCCACCCCGGGACAGCAACTCTATTCTGCACAATGAGCCCATTAGGAAGTGAGGCCACGCCCTGCGGGAGGGGCCGATGGTAGGAGACTGGAAGGGAATCTTCCTGCGAACACAGTGGGCACAGGAAAGACAGGGGGGTCATAAGGACCCCAGATCTCAGCCAGTCCACTGGAGGTTTCTGCTCTACGGAACCCGGGACCTGCAAGAAACGTTCAGCGTAACAGACATCAGGTTACGTTTTCATCGTTTAAACGGCAGTAACAATAAAAACGGCTCCCGTGTTGCGTTTTCGCTGAAACACACTGCGGGGACCACCGCCGCCTCTGTGAGTCGCGGACAGGCCCTGACAGCTTCCCCCGCCATCCCTGCCGAAACTAAGCCCTGAGACAGCCAGGGGAGCCCCGGCCTGTTTCCTAAACACAACCTGCCACCCTTGCGCCTCCCAGTCGGGCTGAATCGGGACTTGTGTAAATAACGTACAAACAAGAGACCTGACGCTACAAATTTCAAGTCCTGTTTGCTGATCGGTCAGTGCAAATCACAGCACCGTCCTTCCCGTGTACCTTAGGCCTCGGGGGTGAGGGACGTCGGCAAACAGACCAGGCCTCTCAGACACACCGGGGCCACTGAGCCCGGTGCGGGGAACGCCGAGGTGCAGGCACGTGGCACCGCCAGGCACAGGGTTAGAGAGGAGCCCCAAACCCAAATCATGAGGGCAGGCACTCCGGGGTAGCGGGTCACCACATTTAAGCTGTCCGTTACTGTGGCCACTGCAGGGCGGTCATTCTTTGAGGCAGCCTGGTGACCCAACAGGCAAGCTGGACCCTGCGGCCAACCTGCTCCTGTGACGTCCACCTTCACGCTGTTATTAATTCAAACACCTTCACTGTTCTCACCCAGCCCCTGTGAGTAAAAGCATGATTGCAAATCTGACCTTAAATACCACTTTTACATATTTTACAGGATGAATCTCAATGCAGAGTGTGTAAAAAAGGACTTGATTCTCCCAAATGTTCGACCCTGATGATCTCCAGCAAAGGAAACCCACTGCCAAGAGATGTGGAGATCCCCCACACTCCAGGCCATTCAGGGTTGAGGAAGGAAAAGGGCTGGGACAGTTGGGCTCAGCCGACCTGGAGACAGCTGTGAACCCAGACTCGGCCTGCTCACAGGCTTGTGGGGTCGCCCCCATAGCCCAGGGGCCACACCACACAGCCCGGGGGCCCATGGCCAGGCTGGTCCACTCACCAGGGGTAAGCACCATAGTCGATCTCCCGGGATGGCAGCCGGCCAATGGGTGGCTGGCAAGAGAGAACATTTGGGTTAATGCCCCTGCAGGGGCTGTTCCCAGAGTAGGGGTCAGAGGGGGCTTGTCAGCAATAACCAGACCCTTGGGCCCCGGAGCCACTGGACTGCGAGGTCCCTGAGGGCAGCGACCGGGACTCGTCACCTGAATGAATGAATGCTCAGTAGGTTTGTATGGATGGATGGATGGATGGATGGATGGATGGATGGATGAATGAGTAGCAACCAACCAACAGTGCACCTAATCCCCAGGAGGGGTGTGACCAAAGGCTGCAGAGCTGCTCAGCGGGGACTGGGGCACACCCCACAGCTCTCTGCCACAGATAGGCCATCGCCCCAGGGCAGGCATCTGGCCGGCAGCAGGTGGTCTCCAGGTGGCAGCTGCAGCAGGCAGGCATCTGCTCTCCAGGCCCCTGGCTGTGGCCTCCCCGGCCAGAGCCCCACCCTGGCCCCCCTCTCTGGGCCACATGCTGGGCAAAGCCTCACAGGCAAACTATCCCCTCCCTACCACTTCTGAGGATGCAGATGGGGAAACTGAGGTCCAGAATGGGGACAAACCTGCCCCAGGCCACCCAGTGTTAGTGACACTTTTCCTCCTCTGCTGTCTGGCCCCCTTGACCTGTCAGCAAAGCCTGTCTCAAGCCTTGAGTGTTCTAACGCTTCCTCCGTTCCCTGGGCAATGAACCACACAGAAGCTGGGTTCTGGGGAGGTGGGGCCAGAGGCCAGGCGGGCTGCTGGGGCAGGGCTCGTGGTATTGGGCCTATGTCAGTGTTTTTAACACCACGATGGAAGGTGACCCCCCAACCGGCCAAGTCCTTCAAACAGGAGAGCACCCCTGCCCCTTGGCCCCCACCCATCGTCTCTGGGTGCAGACTGTGCTCCGGGACCAGCTCACAACGTCCATCAGCCAGGATTTCCTGAGTGAGGACACAGCTCTGGGCAGCCCCGCACCCCAGCCACTATGCTCCAGAAACTTCTGTGGACATGCTCACCCTTCCATCCACGGGGCAGGGCTTCACAGACGTGCTGGGGAAGTAGCCCGACTTCCTGGTCTGCACCAGCCGCCCCTGGGGAAAGACGGAGACGGTCAAGGCCGGCGGGGCCTCGCCTGGCTGGGGGGGGGGACATTTTAGTGTTCACTGTTTCCTAAGGACAAAGACCAGATAAGGACAGTCCCTGAGACGTGTGTGACAGCATTACCTCCCTGCTGTTACCTCCGCTGACCTCATAACCACTTAGGGCAGGAAGGGGAGGAGCATCCCCACTTCACAGATGAGAACACTGAGGCCCACAGACGCTAAGCGCTTGCTCATAGCTGGGATTAGGGCGCCACCTCCCGGCTGCTGCTTCCTCTTATCTACGCAGCCTGTCTGGAGGGCCTGGGGCAGGGCAGGGCCTTGCTCTCCCAGTTCCTTCTGCCTGGAAGGGCCTCCCCAGGGCCTCCCCAGGGCCTCCAGGCAGCTGCTCCTTTCCCCTCCACTTTCACATCAGCAAAGTATCTGTGCGAGGCCGCCCAACACCTGATGACCCTGGTCGCGCTTGGAGAAGGTGTACAGGACGTCACTGAGGCAGAAACGGTGACGCCAGGAGGAGGGCCTCCTCTCAGGGGACCCTGCACTCCCTCCCAGGTAAAAGCAAACGCCCCGAGGAACCGAGGCCTTGCTCCCGGCCCTCTTCCCTCCACCCCCAGCCCTGCCTGGGGACGCAGCCTCTGTGCCTCGGCCTGGGGCAGGGTCGGGGAGCTGGGGCCTCCACCTTTCAGGCCCAGGACCCACCTCCCACCACTGAGACTCGGGGTCCCCTCTTAGCAGCTCAATCACATCGCCTGTCTGGAAGGTCAGCACTGGCTTCCCGGGGGGAGCAGGGTTGCCATGGTAATTCTGCACAGCCACCATCTTGGGACCTGTGGAGGACAGGACAGGACAGGAGGGTGTGGCTGACAGCCGGCCATGTGCAGCAGGAGATGAGCTACCTGTGTCAGTGATGGGTCGGGTCAGCTGGGCCCAGGGACTTGCCAAGGTCACAGCTGCTCTGGGGCAGCTCTGGGGCTGATATGGGGGTCCTGGCTGAGCCCCCAAGACTGTGCAGACCGCCCCTAGACCAGGTCCTGCTCTGGCCTGGCCGCCCCGCGTGGGCCAGTCTCCAGGTCCCAGTCCCGGTGCCGCTTCCCAGAAGCAGCAACATGGCCTCTGGCTGTGTTTTTGTGTGACTAGGTTTGTCAGTGCATGTGATGCTCTCAACTCTCAACATTTAAAAGCCACACTCCTGTGACGCAATGCAGAGCATGTGTGTACATGTGTGTGTGCATATGTATTTGTGTGTGTGTGTGTGTGTGTGTGTGGTGGGACCAGGAGACAGAAAATAGTAAAGCAGCAGCATTTCCCTGTCCGCTCGGCTCGGGGCCTCCAGGCTGCAGCTCAGGGCTGTCCCCGGGCTGACAGGACACTGACCCCCTGCTGGCTGCGCCCTGTCCCCAAGCCCAGCACTTCCTTAGCAGATACTAGGATGGCTCCCTGGAAGGTGGCTGTGAGGCGGGAGGGACATGGGGCCGGTAGACAGCACACAGGGGAAGAGACGAGCCCAGAGCGCTGGGGAGAGTTGAATAGTCACTGTGGCCAGGCCCAAGCTCAGAGCCCAGGGTGACCGCTGACAAGTACAACTGAGAGAGCCCAAGCCCACAGACTTACCTGGTCCCGCTCCAGAGGCATCCTGTGAGGGCAAGGACAAACGACAGTGCTGAAGGCAGGCCGCCCAGTATCTGACACTCCCCACCATGTCCCCAGACAGAAGGGTCAAGGCAGGAAGAGGGGATGGGGGCAGGGACCTATCCTAGGCTCCTGTTTCCCTAGAGGACAACCCCCCACTATTCTTACTATATCTTCCACCTTTGTGCCCCTCTACAGCCCTGGGACAGTCACCCCCTTCCTTCTCCCATGCCTTACCTTTAACACCCACCTCCTCCAGGAAGCCTGCCCTGACCACCCTAGCCCCGGAGCCTCCCTGCTCTATGCCTGGGGTTAGTCTGTCTGGGACATGTCCTGCTGCATATGACTGGATGCTGTGTGTCTCCCCTCCTCCATGAGGGCATATTTGCACCCCAAGCAGGGCCTAGTGAGCACCCCTAAGTGCTGGTTAATTTGACTGGACCCCGCAGCTGGGGCAGGTCACGATGTCTGCACCCCATAAGTGATTTCAGGGACTTCATCCTCAGGTCAGCTGAATAAGAGCCTCTAAGCCAAGTCGGGGGGGGAGGGCAGGTGGGCAGATGCACGTCACAAAGCTGGGCACCCACAGCCGAGAGCCAGTCACTGGGCAAGCGGAATGGGTGGCAGCCGGGCAGGGCAGCAGCCACCAGGGCCGCTCACGATTGCAGTGGCTGTGCTCGCCGGTGTGGCCTGGCCCCGGGAGTGCCAGGAGCTGGAACCATGGGGCCTTTCTGGGAACACGGGGTGTGAGGGGTACAGGGCGGCAGGAAGAGAACAGCGTAGCGGACTCACCAGGTCAGCAGGCGAACCTGAAAGGGAAGCACGCCAGGCCTGAGAGGGCAAGCCGCCAGCACCAGGGACGGGCGGCTCTCGCCCACAGCGTAAAAAGGTGCCCTCAAGGCCCTTCACGTCAGACACGGGCTACAGACACACAGAGCTGGTCACCATGAAAGTCTCTCGGTTACTCCTGATGGCAAATTCTGCGCCCTGCTCTAAGGGCCCATGGGAGAGGGCAGGCTGGGTATCGGGCCCGAGGGCAGGCAGGATTTCCTGCTCAGCCAACTCTGCGCCGGAGGCAGCAGCTGCCTGGTCACGGGGGAAGCCTGGGCTCGAGGGGGAGATTCACAGCCAGTTAGTGGTGCCTGCCGTGGACAAGTGACAAGGAGGCATCGGTGCTCCTGCTCCCTACTTGACATCCCGTCGCAGACGCACAGGCGCCAGGATGCTCAAGGGCGCGGGCGCCTCAGCTTGTCAGCTGGAAGGCAAATGTTCCGAAGATCCTCTCCACCTGCCCGGATGCCCTAAAGGGAGAACGCAGCGCCAGGCTGGGCCAGCACCTGCCAAGCTGGTGTGCCACCCCACGTGGGACAACGCAAGGGCCACAGTGGCTGCCGTGCATGGCTGCCGTGACCTCAACACCACCTACGCTGACAGGGCAGATGCTTTGGGCAGACCCTGCAGAACACAGGTGACAGGCTCGCTGGGCATCGGGCAGGGAGTGCCAGACAGCGCAGCCGGTGCCCACAGGGAAGGCTCCCCATAGGAGAGGCTCTCGGGGACATCTTGACTGACAAAGGCCAGAGGAGCCTCCTGGAGCCCAAGCCCAGAAGGAAGGACGATGCGCTGGCCAGAGGCAGCCTGGAACTCCCCAGAGGAAAACGCCAGGAGACTGGGGCAGGACAGCGTCCCCGGGAGAGCGTCGAGAAAGGGAACCACGCACACGCCCTTGGGGGCACCACAGGCTCCTTCAAAGGAGCGCACCATGGGCCGTAATGCCACGGAGGATGCTCACAATAACTCTGGCTTTCAAAAGCCAGGAAATTGCCTATCTGGTAAGATCCCAATTACAGATGTAACGAAAAACACGAAAACAGGCAGAGCCAGGGGTGGGCGTGTGCGTACGACAGGAAAGGAGCTGCCTGGTGGCCGACGGCATGCTTTCATCTCCTTGTTCTTTATGCATTTTCCAACTTTTCTACAGGAAACGGTATTTAACAGTCAGAGGGGGAGACCCAGAAAGATCACGCCTCTGGAACGTCTTGGTTTGGGGGGGGGTGCCCAACCCGGAGCAGCTGGACGGGCAGCCGGAAAGCCTGAGGTGGTTCTGGAAGGTTTTAGAGGCTCCACGGGCAGTAGCCGGTGAGCACTGGGGTCCCTGGGGAGCAGGCACCGAGGCTTCATCCTGAAGCAGGAGCCACGGGGCAGGGACACCTGCCGAGGGCCAGCCTGCCCCACGTGCTGCATGCGGGCGGCCCAGGCCCCCTTGTCCCCGTGGGACAGCAACGTCCAACTTCAGTCCACGCTCAGGGAAGCGGCACTGGGGGGGGGACACACTCAAAACACACCAGGCTGGCTTGTCACCTGAGACACCCCGCCAAGAACCGATTTTGTCCGTTGCCCATTTACTGCTGAGTGCTGGCCCAGTGCCCTGGGGGGGGGAGGGTCCGACACGGCAGCCCAGGCCCCAGACCAAAATATCGCCTTTGCTTATTTCTTGATCAGTTCACAGGTGATACTTATTTTTTTTATTTCATTTCTTTCTTTTTTTTCCCTCCAAATTTTTGACAAGTATGTTACTTTTAGGTTCGAAACAACAACAAAAATGCCAAAAAAAATTTTGTTAAATGCCCGAGTCACCCAGCATGAGGGCACGTGGCCACAAGAGGGCAGTATTGGCGGGCAAAACTGAAAAGCCGAGTTGTTCCAGGGGGAGGAGGCTGGAGGGGCTGCTGAACCCTGACTGGGCTGCCGTGGGCTGCAGGGGCCTGCGGCAAGGACGAGGGGTCTGGGCTGACCCGTCGGAGCCCCCTCCCCTATCAGGGCACTCGGCCTGTAAATGGGAAACTGATAAAATCGTCTCTTCTTGGTGTGTGCGTGCAGACATGAACCACCTGCAGCACGGCTATAGCTACAGGGGGCCAGGTGCTCCGGGTGCAGGAGAACCAGGGCGAGGGGTTTCTCTCTGATCAGAAGCCTCCACGCAACTGCTGAGAAGGTTCTGTGTCCATTTGGGGAGAGGACTCTAGAAGTTTCCAACTGGAAAGGAGCAGGGGACACAGAAGAGGTAGAGAAAAGTCCCTCAACATCACAGTTAGGAGAAAGGGTTTAGCATGGAATCCCCTGGCCCCTTGACACTGTGTGACGCTGGGCAGGTGTCCTCCCCTCTCTGAGCCTTGGTTTCCTCATCTCTGTCCTGGGGGGGTCACCACAGCCGGAAAGGAGAAGGTGCTCACTCGGCCTGGGCCAGGAGGGTGGCGGAGGGCGGCTGTGAGCAATGGGACCCTCGGCTGGGGATGCCACGTGTGACCCCGAGGACCAATGCCTAAGGCTCGCGTCCACGGACAGGGCGGGGCAGTACTCACTGATCTTGCAGGGAGGCGTCACTTCTAGACACTCCTTGTGCGCCCCCACGCCACACTTGGTGCACAGGTACCCCTGGTAGAAGGTGCCCCTGTGCCAGGAGGAGGGGCAGAGGTGAAGCAGGTGCTGCCCAGTCTCCACACCCCGTAGCTGCAGGGAAGGGCCCCAAAGAGCACCAGGCCCGCTCTGCGGTCCCCGTCCCCACCGAGCGCCTGTCCTTCACCGCCCTGGGCCTCCAGGATCCCCTCCCCACATGCAGCCTGGTACCTCTCTCCTCAAGAGCAGCCCCACCTTGCTCTGCCATCCCACACAGCAGGCCCTGGGCACCCACAGGGGCAGTCACCTCCCCTCCCGGCTGGATCTGAGCTGACGGGGCCCAGCCAGGGCTGGTGAAGGAAGGTGGCCAGCGGGGATGGGGACACAGGGCACACGCAGCACTAGGCTCCCTCGGGGGCTGGGGCGTGGCAGGCGGCCCCTCACCTGAGGAACATCCTGCAGGCTTTGCAGTTGGTGGTCTTGTCGAACGTGTACATCTGGAAGCTGTGGTGATTGGCGTTGGCTTTGTCGGGCTTGATGTTGGACCTGACAGGAGGGAAAGGGGGCGCCAGATCCCCTAAGCCCCAAACCAGCCTGGCTGGGCCAAGACTCAGAGCCCGGGTCTACCCGACACCCCGGCTAGAACGGGGATCTGCTGCACAGGCAGGAGAGACCTGCGTGAAGGTCATGGCTACATCTTGACAGGGTTTGGGTGCAGGCAGGCCAGGGCACCTGGCACGACGAGCAGATGAGCGCTTAGGACCTCAGTGTACACAGTGAGGAATGAAAACCTGGGAACAAGCAGTGAACTCGAACGCACAACAGGCGCCCTGAGCATTTGGGCGACGTGCGCCGCGTCTGATCCACCTGGAGACACATCACTGTCAGGCGGCACGAAGCCAGGGGCGGCTGTGACGAAGCAACAGGCGGGATCCGAGGGTGGTCGCCACAACACTCCTGCCACCGGGATGAACACTCAAAAGTGTTCCTCGGAGAGCATTGGGGAGAAAACTACCACCTCTGCGAGCCAAGGGGCAGACATGGAGATGGCCCGTGGCCTGATGGCCTGTTCTGGCGTGTCCTGGACGTGGTCCCATTCGATCCGTCCACTAACCCCACAACCTGGGCCCTCTGTTCATCTCCATTTCACCAGGAGTAAAAGGCCGGGAGGGAGGCGCACCTGCCTGTCTGACTGCAGAGTCTGAGGACACAAGGTCCCTGCCACTCTGGCCTCAGGTCCCACGTGTCTGGGGACCCCAATGACCCACTGATCACCTTTCTCTAGTTGGATATATTGGGGTTCCTCCTAGATTTCATGGAAAAACGGCCCTGTGGCTTCCACAAAGAGGTGACAATCCACAGCCTGGAAGGCCGTGAGGATCTGGCCGCCATGGGTCTGGCATCACAACCATTCCCGGACACTCAATGCCCAGCCAGACAGGCAGGCAAAGCTCAGCCTCGGGGCAGCGGTCACCGGAGCCCACCTGGGACAGGCGGGGACAGAGGGAGGGCTCTCCTGCCCGGGTAGATTGTAAAATAGCTAGGATGCCACCAAAGCGGGGCTGGGGGTGACAAAGCCCATCTCAGTCTATCGGATTTGCCCGAGCCCGAACCTGAGAGCGTCCGGACACAGTTCACCGCCCCCCGGCCGCCCTGACTCACATGGCCATCTCGAACTGCTCCATCCATTTCCTCTTGGTGTCCTCCGTCTTGCAGAAGAACTGAAAGCCCTGTTTCCCTTGCAGGTGGATCAGGTAGAAGCCGTAGGACCACTGCGGGAGGAGAGGGGCGCAGTTGCCAACAGCAGGGCTTTGAGCACACTGACACAAGGACATGTGTGCCTGCATGTGCACGGGTACAGTGCACTCATATGCACNTAGGACCACTGCGGGAGGAGAGGGGCGCAGTTGCCAACAGCAGGGCTTTGGGCACACTGACACAAGGACACGTGTGCCTGCATGTGCGCGGGAACAGTGCACTCACATGCATGTCTGTGCCTGTGCCTGTGTGCACATGTGTGTGCATGTGCATGGATACAGTGCACTCATATGCATGCCTGTGCCTGTGTGTGCACATGTATGTGCGTGTGCATGGGTACAGTGCACTCATGTGCATGTATCTCTGCCTATGTGCACACGTGTGTGTGCATACGCATGGGTACAGTGCACTCATGTCTGTTTCTGCACACATGTGTACAAAGGTGCGTGTGCACACCCTTCTAACATGACTTCCTACGACCCCTCTTCCCACCCCCTCCAAGGTGTGCCCTCAACTGAACTCTGCTGGTGCAGCTGGGGTCGTCCCTCATGACTGAGCTGGGTCCCCAGGGAGCCCATGTTCAGGAACTGGCCCCGGGCCCTTCCACGACACCGGCCCACCCACTTTCACTTCCTAAATGTGATGCTAAAGAAACTTCTCTGAAGCAAAACAGAAAGAAAAAGGCAGGAAAAGGCCATGGGCCTGGGGAGCCCACGACAAAGCCCCACACAGCTGCCCCACCCCCTCGGCCACCCACCCACCCACCAGGCCTGCCTATCTCTGGGGCCTTCAAAGGGGCCCAGGAAGGAGAGTTTGGAAAAACCTGAGCCCGTGTGTTAGAAACGATGAAGGGATGGAGGGAGAGAGGGAAGAGAGAAAAGACAGAGGATGACAGAGGGACACTAGACAAAACACCCTGACCAGCTCGGGCCTTGACCTCTGGGGAGCGGAGCTGTGGGGACCAGGCAGGGAGGTGGGACTTCACTTGACACCGTCTGTAAGGGGCAAATCCTTTACTCTGCACACGTCATAGTCATAATTAAGGAACCAGGGAAGGAAGAAGAAAGCCAAGGGCCTGCCCCTCCTCGGGTCCACCTGGGTCCCCCGGGACGCCACTCCTGGCTTAGGAAGGAAATGCTGGCATCGGGTCCTANTCCTGGTTTAGGAAGGAAATGCCGGCATCGGGCCCTGAGGTGAGGAAGGCGACAAGGAGGGCGCCAGGTGCTTACCATTTTCCCATGAGACTAGGAAGCATGAGAGGAAAGGAAAACGGGAGACGAGGTCATTACAAGACTTGGCCTGGCCCCACGGTGGGCACCACAGCCCACAATACTGACCGCTGCCAAGTGCCCTGGGATGGGACAGCCAGGTCAAGGGCCTTCTTTCCAGAGGGGAAGGTGCCAGAGGCTAGGACCTGGGGGGCTGCGTCTTCAGCCCAGAGTCTGGGGAGCGGCCTTAGGTCACCACCTCTAGGGCCCCAGTAGCTTGTTGTGGACATCAGGGTTAGTTGGGTCATCCCAACAGCTCTTCCAGGTAGGACCCTCATTCTACACTGTAAGTTCCAAAGTCCAGGGTCTGGGGGTTTTAGCACATGGGCTCCTGGCCCCCACATCCAGTTCAGGGCTGCACATGGTAAGTGCTCAAGTCCTGAGTGCAGAAGCCTCTGCAGACACAGGGCTGAAGAAGAGGGCATGGCAGCCCCATCCCAGCGGCCATGGCTCCACCCTCAGCAGCCAAGGTCCCACCTCCAGAAGTCATGGCCCCACCCCAGCAGTATGGCTCCACCCCTGTCAGTCATGGCCCCACCCCCAGAATCCTGATCCCACTGCCTGGGCAGCCCTCTGACAGCCACGGGTAGGCCCACGCAGAGCCCTCCTCCACGGGGTGGGCAGGGCAGGAAGGCCTGCTTGCTGCAGGGGCCAGTGTGGGCTGGAGTCAGGCAGCCAAGGTCTAAGGCCCGGCTCTCCCCAGAGTACTTGGGCTGGGTCCCTCTGCCCAGTCTCCTCACTGGGAGCTGTGACTCGGGTGCTGCTCACTCCCAGGAAAGAGTCAAGGGTAAAGGCCAGGGAAGTGCTGGGCCGGCACAGGGGGGCCTGCCTTCAGCAGACGTCACAGTGACGAGAGTGACCGACAAGGGAAGGCTGTCTCACTGCAGCCCACCCCGTCAGGGTCAGCACTGACTTCCACTGTCACACCCTTTCCCCAAGGCCACCCCACGACTTCCCCTCAGCGGGGGCATCACCGCCTGCCCCTTGCCTGTGAGGCCCAGATGCCCCGCCGTCACCACCGGGAGCCCGGGACCCACCTTCTTGACATCCTTGTTGTTCATGGGGTCATCGGTCACCTTGTGGAAGAGCAGCTCGATGATCTCCTTCAGCTCGTAGCTGTAGCCCCTCCTTTTGCAGACGATGACCACCTTGTCAAACAGGAACAGGTACCTGGCCCGACGGCACAGCCAGGGGGCCATCAGCATGGCCCCGCGCACCGTGCTCCCAGGCCACGGGATGGAGCCCGAGCCCTGCCCTCCGCCTGGCTCACTTACTAATGCTGATCCTCAGCTAGGTCTCGGCTGCTCAGATACAATTCCTCCAGGAAGCCCTCCTTGACCTTCCCCCATGACCCAAGGCATACATAGGCTCCTCCATCCCCAAGCTCCACCTCCCACTAACTAGACTAGGAGCCCCATGGGAGCCAACCCTGTATGTGCTGTGACCCCAGCCATGACCCCAGGCCTCCCACACAGTAGGAGTACATGGCCAGCTCAGCCAGAGCCGTCCCTGTCGCCCACCTGGGCACTCCCTTGGTCATTTGGCAAAGAGCTCATGTGGCCACTCTGTCTGTCTAGCTCCCAGGAGCCTGTGAGCTCGTCAGCCACGGCCGCTAGCTGCCCCCCAGCCCAGCCCAGCCCAGCCCAGCCCAGCGTCAGCCATGGCCGGGCAGCCCCACTGGCGTGGTGGCGACTGGCAGACGTGGCTCACCAACACTCTCGCCAGGAGGAAGGAAGCAATTAAAACGGAGCAACACAAAGCCCAGTGGGCAGGAAGCTCTTTCCACCGGAAAAGCCGTTTCCAGGCCTGTGGGGAGCAGACGCCTGGCTGTGCTGGGTGCCACCCGCCTGGGGCCATAGCTCCACTCACCTGTCTTGCTTGGTGTGGTTGACTATGGAGCGGACCTTCAGCTCCCCGTCGATCTTTGGCCTCCCAAATTCCTCCAGCTTCACTTGCTGGGAAAGACAAGGGAAGGCCATGAGCCCAGTGCCAGGGCAGGCCCCTCCTGTCCCAGCACCTACTCAGAGGAAGGGCAGGTGGGCACAAGCCCAAGGGGGACGTTTCCCACGGAAAGCAGAGGTGGAAACCCAGTGAAATGAACCCGGTGCGTCCTGGCTGGTGCTCAGAACAAGGGAACAGCGGATGACGGGAGGAGCTGTCCACTGCCCCCCCCCCC